ATCATTCAGTTGGGCTAACTGATGATGAATATTAACCATCCAATTAAAAAGCAGATTTTTAGTAGAAATGCTTTCTAAATTATCACACACCATATTTCCTTTCGTATTACGAATATTTTCCCATTTCTCATCAAAACTTTTTGCTGCATTATATATGAGAAAAAATAGCGTGCGTGGTGTAAGAAAAGCTGGAAGAATCTCCAAAAACACTGCTTGCCCTCCACAATCCCAAATGTGCATGAACGGCTGAGGCTTTATATCTTGTATTGGCACTGGCTCAATCTCTTGAGCACGTTTTATTGCTTTTGCAAGAAATGAATCAACTTCTTTTTTTTGATTTTCTCGAACTGATAATTCTGAAAGGCCCAGTGATGAATCTACTTTATACAATGACAAAGCAGCTACTGCAGTACGAAGATCTTCAGAACCCGAAGCTTTTTCATAAACTGCAGCAATTAAACGAGCAACTTCTTCAATTTCGTCATTTTCATCAACTTCTTTCCATTTCTTATCACTAAGCATGTGAGCACTGTACTGAACTGGACGGTCACTGCTGACTCGAGGCTCTTTCTCATGATGATCTGGTGGACTCTGGTGCTGCTGGGGAGCAAAATCTATATACGGTTGTGATTGTTGTGGTTGCCCTACAATGAATCTTGAGGTGCTACTAGAAATATCCTCAGGATTATCTGGTCTATGACTTGACCTTTCATAATGATCTGGTGAAGAATAATAATCTGGCTTATAGCGATCTGGCAAAGAATAATCATCTGGCCTGCAGTGATCTGGTGAAGAATAATCATCTCGTCTCTTGTACTGATTAGGTCTCCTGCGATTGAATTGAATATCTTGTGGATTGTGCTGGATTGGCGGTGGCATATTTCCTCCCAAACAAGTAAAATCATCTTTATCTGGTGGAATGTATTGATCTGGTCGTGTAGGATCATCTGGTGGAATGTATTGATCTGGTCGTGTAGGATCATCTAGTGGAATGTATTGATCTGGTCGTGAAGGATCATCTGGTGGAATGTATTGGTCTGGTCGTGTAGGATCATCTAGTGGAATGTATTGGTCTGGTCGTGTAGGATCATCTGGTGGAATGTATTGATCTGGTCGTGTAGGATCATCTGATGGAGTGTATTGATCTGGTCGTGAAGGATCATCTGATGGAATGTATTGATCTGGTCGTGAAGGATCATCTGGTATATCATAATCTGATCCCCTACTGGGAGTGTGTCTGTCATGAACACTACAATAACGCTGGCCATTATTTGGCTTAGCCAGTCGTCTAACTGGTACTATAGAATGGAGCTCGGATACTATAGTACTGTCGGTATTTTTTATAAAGGGTTTTTCCATGAGCGATCGAGTGAAGCATGTTTTACCAACTCCAGCCGATCCAAGAAGCATTATTCTAGAATAAGCAACTTTAACCTCTTTTTGTGCCACTTTCTCTTCATAATCTTCAATAAACAAATAAATAACAAAAATCATTAATGTTTCGAAACCTTACCTATTTTGAGTTGCAGTGTGATTAGTTCTTCATTCTTTTCTGGCAGTGCACGACTTTCATCTTCCTATAGGTACATTTATATAGAGTGTTATCAATGTCTTAACTTTACTTCAAGTGCTTTTTGAGGCTAGCAGTAATGAAATGAAATTGTAATGATAGAAAATATAGAAGATGAGCTTACCAGTATAATTGGCTAGTGTAACAATGATGTAAAAGAAAAATTATTAATACAATCAAGTTTAATGATAGTCACTTACAGCCTATGAAACAGATAAATAATCATGATTACATTGACATGATTATATGCAAGCTTACTGTGAATGGTTTCTATTGTTATTCAGGAAAGAAAATTTTGATCAAAATGAAACTAAAAATAACTTCATAGTAAGTAACTCACTTGTCTCATCCTCCTATTGTGAGCCATTGCTTTATCAACCAGATAAAGTAACCTAATACAAAGCATGTGACTGTTATTTTAGTGAAGATAGCTAATAAAATCACATGAATGTATTAGCTAAATGGCAATCATTTTATAAAGCCTGGTTTACATTTGCCATAAAACACAAGGCAAATAAATGCAAGATTAAAATTTGGCCAATTTTGTGTGAACTTCAAAGCATTTTTGCATCAATGCCTACTTAAGCTACATCAATAAGCTACACTGCATTTAATAAACTACATCAATTTAATGGCAGAACTATATACATATAATTATTTTAAACACTCTGCACACATGGTAAAATTTTTTCCATAGGACAATTTTCACACCAAACCAAATGAAGCTATATAAAGCTTTATCACTTTTAGGGCTGCATAGTAACAGTCTAATCCAGAAAACATATACTCAGCAGTGCCAATCACAGGCCAAAATTTTTGCATATTATTTGAGCCTTAAGGCCGATATCACAAAATGAAATTTGACAAAGCTAAGGCTGAATTACTGAAAAAATTGTGACCATGAAGGATTCAACTTGAAAGTGAATCTGGCGTTGTACAATAAATCGACAAACCATACCAGTGAAGTGAACAAAAGTCTGTTGTGATTCGTGAACTACCAAAACACCTGATCTGGAAGCATTAATACCTTTTGCAGCGGAAGACCCAAGGATTGGTAAGGAACCTAAAATCGAAAGCTGGAGTTATTAGATAACCCGTGTGGTGAAAACGAAAAGTCAGGCGCTACTCATTAATTGCATCATAATTATCACTGAGTACAACTTCAGCCTGTCAGTTTAACTCACTTGAGTTGCTTATAGCAAGAGCACAGCATAGATACTTTATAAAAAGTCTCCGGTAAAGTAGCCCCACTCTTCTTGGCGCAACTCAGCCCCCCTTTCAATTTTGAGCTACATAAAAATGTGGTCTTTAATAATTAAATTCATTTACTCTAGTCTATAAAAATGCACACAAAAGTAATAAAAATTACAAGTTAAAACCAATTTTAAAAAATAAATGCAGCAAAAAATGTTTTCAAAGTTTATCCAAGTACTTGTCCAGTGAAGGAACAATTTCGGCTAGTCCTTTCCTTTTTCTTGTCTCCACTACAACAGATCCAGCCATTGACTTACTGTCCAAAGGATCACCAGGCAATAACTGCCAATGATCAAACACACACTGTGGGAATGCTTGACCTCCAGTGCTGCCACGAAGATCACCAGTGAATCCTAATAATATATTAACAGTAATAATATATTTTTCACATGTAAATGATTGTTATTATACATTTACAGTAAAATAAACAAGCAAAAATAAATTTTTAGGTAAGGAAAAGTCTGCAAGATAATGGCCAGTAAACTATGCACATATCAGAGTGTTTGTAGTTAAGAGTGTGTGTATCTTACCAAAGGATTCATTAACAGGTAGATAAGCTTTCACAACAAACATTGAAGTACCAGCCAGTGGACATTCCTCAAAAATGTGCCCTCTCCGACGGTTAAGAACAGAATAAATGCTACCAATAACACTATCAGGACACTATGGGAATAAAAATACGTAACAATTAAACAGAAAGTCTGGAGTCTGGTAGCCACCATGAATGTGACCAATGGAACTTAGCCACAAATCTATACCAACAAGATGATCTTAAACGCCTGATTGCCTTTAATGTAGTATAAATTATGAAAGTGAAGAATTTTCTTCTTTTTATTTTTGACAAAATTTTGTCAAAGACCGACTTTGGTCTAATTTTTGAGCAGCTTTAAAAATTTGTAAAAAATTTAACTTTAATTGTAGTCAGCTTAAACTTTCTACACAGCATCAG